TTAAATATAACGTTATTATACATGTAAAATATTAATATTTGTATATTACAATATATGAAGCTAACATTTTACATTTGCCAAGACAGCACAATAAAAAGATTGAGATATACATATACTTTATCTTTAACAATCACAACACAATTGAAAGAGAAAACTGAAATTTACACACACACCCACACACACACACGTATATCTCCATAAGAGAGAGAGAAAGAGAGAGAGAGAGAGAGAGAGAGAGAGAGAGACTGAGAGAAAGAAAGAGAGAGAGAGAATGAGATTGTCTGTTCAATACTTACCTTTTCATAATCTTGTGAAGAAGCTCGAGCCCACATCGTCATCCACGCCATTGTTTCGTTTGCTGGCGGTTGATCGTTTGCTGGCGGCCAATCGTTAGCTGGTGGCCTATTGTAAGCTGGCGGCTGATCGTTCGCTGGCGGCCGATTGATAGCTAGCGGCCAATCGTTAGCTGGTGGCCTGTTGTAAGCTGGCGGCTGATCGTTTGCTGGCGGCCGATTGATAGCTGGTGGCCAATCGTTAGCTGGTGGCCTGTTGTAAGCTGGCGGCTGATCGTTCGCTGGCGGCCGATTGTTAGCTGCCTGCTGATCGTTCGATGGTGGTCGATTGTTCGCTGGCGGCCGATCATTTGCCAGCGGCTGATCGTTAGCTGGTGGCCGATAATTAGCTGGCGGCTGATCGTTCGCTGGCGGTCGATTGTTCGCCGCCGGCCGATCGTTCTCTGGTTGTCGTTCTTTGGCTTCTTTCACGGGAGATCGATCTAGGATTGGTGCAGTTTGTCCTGAAAAAAGAAATATTTATTTATTTATTTGTTGAAATATATTAAAAATATATAAAAATAATACAAGTGTATTATATTATTATGAAAAAAATAATAAAAGTACTTACTTCTTCGTCTCCTCGCCGTACCCGATGCTACCGTTGCCTACGACTCCATGTTGAATAGTGACAAAACCGGCGCATTGATACCACTGTAATCACTCACAGCGATCACGTGTCGATACGACGATCTATTTTCCGCATGCGCAATTGTACGTATAAGCGCGTCCTATGCGCGAAACGCTTGCCGCGCTGCGGAAGTTAGTTAGGGAATAACGCGGGAAAATGTGGTAGCCAATTATGTCGCTGCTTCATAAGAACAAATTGCTCATTGGTTCTATTGCTCTACGTGTAGTTCTTTGTTACGCNTAACATTTTTATGCGTTTTGTTTATCACCATGTGATCATATTATTCGTTAAAACATACAAACGTGAAACGTTCACATCCTCTTAGCTCAAAGTTATTGCCGGTAAAATAATAATAAAATTACTTGACCGTTGCTCATATCGATCAAGT